GCCTGGAAACTCGAAGCTGCACTGGAACTGTGACCGGGACCGAGGAACTCAGGACTGGTACATGCGTTGCTGAACCCTTATCTTCGCAGCCTGATGGCGGCGCACCAGGGGCCTGCGGATTAGCGGCCGTGTTCCTGTCACGTATGTGATCTCTTGCCCGTGCAAGAATGTGATACGTCATGCATGCTGATTTTGTCCACTGTGCAGCGTTGCCTCGTTATTGCGCATCTGCTGCCACCGCCGACAATGCCGATTTCCTGACGACGCCATGGACCACGACGGCGACTTCTTAGCAGATTCAGTATTCTTTTGGCTATGGCCCCTTCTGCTCGCTGCAGTGCAGTTGCCGCACTGCGCTGCTGGTGCTCATCATCGTTGCATGGGCGGCAGAAGGCGGGAGGGAGAAACTCGGAGCCGTTCCAGGGCCCAGCCCGCCACAACGGAGAGAGGGAGTGGAACAACGCGGAGCGGATGGGGGGCCCAAAAATATACACCACCACCACCTCCCTCCCCACCTCCCTCTCACTGGAACGAGGAGAGAGGAGGAACCGACGTGGTGGTGGTGTATATTCTTTGGGCCCCCAGCGGAAACATCGATTCGGGTTTAGGGCGGGGAGCGGCCGGGGGAGGTCCGACGGGAGACGAGGGCGGCGTCTGACGAGAGAGAGAGAGAGCCTCTCGCTGCGAGTTCACCACGTGCGAGTTCGGCAACACGCGGCCGGTCATCCAGCACATCAGCACCCGCGGTCAGCCCCGGAAGCAGGAAGGATGAAGGACGGAGGAGGAGGGTGAGGAGGAGAAGGGGGACGGCTTTCCCCTTCCCCATCTATCCCAAAGGAGCGGGACGACAACTATAGGAAGGATTCGAATCCAGAGACGTGGACCGTGGTGGGGCGAGAACGCCATTCTGAAAGGCGGGAGCAAAACACCAATCCTAAAGCGAAGCCCATGCTGCAGCGGGGGTACCAGTTAAGCCCCGTAAACGCTTCGATCCATCGAACGTCACATAAGAAGAATTGTTCCTCTGCTCCTCCTGCTCCTCCTGCTTCTCTCCCACCCCTGCTATTGCTGTTCCTCTCTGTCCTCCTCTTTCCTAGTTCTCCTCCTCTAGCTCCTCCTGCTTCTCTCCCACCCCTGCTGTTGCTGCTTCTCTCTGTCCTCCTCTTTCCCAGTCCTCCTCCTCTACCTCCTGGTCGTCGTCCCGCTCATCCGTCACCTCCTCCCTCTCTCCAGCCCCCCGTTCTCTGAGTTCCTCTCTGTCCTCCTCTTTCCTAGTCCTCCTCCTCTACCTCCTGGTCGTCCTCCCGCTCATCCGTCCCCTCCTCCCTCTCTCCAGCCCCCCCAGTTCTCTGAGTGCGCAGGACACGCTGGTGTTCGCCTGGGAGCTCCGAGTCCGCCGTGACACCCGTCGACGGACGGAGGCAACATCAGCACGGTGGACTGGGATGGGTAGGCAAGGGCTCCCTCGAGGGCGCGAAGTTATTCGCGCTTCGCGGTCCTCGTTCCTTCTCCCCCTCCTCCTCGTCCTCCTATTCTCCCTTTGGGAGGGCGGCGCGAGAGCGCGAAGTTATTCGCGCTTCGCGCTTCGCGCAGCGCGAAGCGCGAAGTTGGGAGCCCTAGGGTAGGACAGGGCTGGACCTAAACGGTGCTTTTGGCGATTTCGGGGGCCGTTTTCGTTTCGACTTCGTTTTGCGGTAGAGGTGGACTGAAGACAGAACGAGAGAAGACGAACACAAGACGAACACGGAAGACACCGTTCAGGTTCAGCCCTGTCAGATCTGTCTCCTCCCCACTTTCTCTCCCCTCCCCTTCCCCCGTTCTCTGCCATGCTCGATGGTTCAACCTCCATCCTTCTGGTTTCCCCCCCTTCACGCGTCATCACCTGCCGGTTTTCCCACCTCCTTTTCTTCCAGGCCTCCGTTTTTCCATCTCTTTACGCCTGTGAGCTGTCTGTGTGGCCGTCGGGCATCCCGGGAGATCTCTGAAATCCCCATGGGGCCATCCCGATCCATGCGGAGCTCTCTTGGCGCATCTGGCCTGGGAGAGTAAGAGGAGGAGGATGCCTCCAAGGCCTCCTCCTTCAACGCCTCCTCTTCCTCGTTTGGGGCCTGCCCCGCCGGAAGTGCAGCGCGAACGCCCCACCACGTGGGAGGGGGCGGGCTTTGGCGGGGTGCGCGTGTACCTCTTCGCCCCCCCTCCCCTCTTCTTCCTCGTCTCGCCCCCATACACACCTCGCTCCGCGTTCCAAGATCAGGAATTGTTCGCCCAGTTTGACTTAGGTCGGGCCTGTCCCCCTAGGATGTTCGACAAAAAAAATACATCACAAATACGTCAAGAAATACTAAAAAGATAGTCCCCAGACTATTGTTTGACTATTTTTTGATTATTTGGGTTTTTTATGTTTCTATTTTTTGTCGAAACTACCCCTGTAGGGGGACAGGCCCGACTCAAAGTTTGACCAGCCTTCGCCGCTGCCCTCTCCTCCTCCCGCTCGTCCCTCTGTCCCCTGCTCTCGCGCGTCGGGCGTTTGTGCGTCACCCCGGGCGGAAGGGGTGAGGACGGTGCGGTGGCGGGACAGCCCTGCCGTTATGTCGGGCGTGTCCCCCTACAGGGGAGCTTGTGTGTCACCCCGGGAGGAAGGGGTGAGGACGGTGCGGTGGCAGGACAGCCCTGCCGTTCTGTCGGGCGTGTCCCCATTACAGGGGGACTTTCGACGAAAAATAGAAGAATACCCCCAACAATACACCAAAAAGGCTAACAAATGCTCAAAACATAGTTTCCAGACTGTCCGGTGGCAGGACCGCCCTGCCGTTCTGTCGGGCGTGTCCCCCTACAGGGGGATTGTCGACGAAAGATAAACCAATACCCCCAACAAAATATACCCAACAGGCCAACAAATGCTCAACACATGGTTTCCAGACTATTTTTGGATCATCTTTGGATTATGTGTCACCCCGGGAGGAAGGGGTGATGACGGTGCGGTGGCGGGACAGCCCTGCCGTTCTGTCGGGCGTGTCCCCATTACAGGGGGACTTTCGACGAAAAATAAAAAATACCCCCAAAATGCTCCAAAAAGGCCAACAAGAAGGGGTGATGACGGTGCGGTGGCAGGACAGCCCTGCCGTTCTGTCGGGCGTGTCCCCCTACAGGGGGACTTTCGACGAAAAATAAAACAAATACCAACAAAAATATACCCAAAAAGGTAAACCATTGCTCAAACCATATTTTCCAGACTATTTTTGGACCATGGGCTATTTTGGGGGTATTTTTTTTTTCGTCGAAAATCCCCCTGTAGGGGGACTGGCCCGACTGAACCCTACCGATTGCTCACTCGGGCTTCAGGAATCTAGCCTCGATTCTTGGGGTCGTCGCTGCCGAGAAAAAAAGAGAGAGTTCGCCCCGCTGGAGGGGGGGTGGGCGGGGGGGATGGAGCAAGGGCGCCCTCGAGGGCGCGAAGTCATTCGCGCTTCGCGCCTCGCGGGCCTCGTTCCTTCTCCCCCTCCTCCTCGTCCTCCTTTTCTCCCTTTGGGGCGGCGGCGCGAGAGCGCGAAGTTGTTCGCGCTTCGCGCAGCGCGAAGCGCGAAGTTGGGAGCCCTCTGTGGAGGAGGAGGAGGAGGAGGAGGAGGAGGAGGAGGAGGAGGAGGAGGAGGAGGAGGAGGAGGGAGGAAGAGGTAGAGGGAGGAGGAGGAGGAGGAGGAGGAGGAGGAGGAGGAAGGAGGAGGAAGGGGGAGGGCGGTGGATCACCGCCGTCCTGACCATGGGTCTTGCGCGGCCGTGCCGGGCGGCTAAGGCCGACGACCGAGGCCGTCCTCGCGCCACGTTGCGCCCCTCGGGGCCCTGGAGGAGCAGGAGGAGGAGGAGGAGGAGGAGGAGGAGGAGGCGGAGGAGGAGGAGGAGGCGGAGGAGGCTAAGGAGGCGGAGGCGGAGGCGGAGGAGGAGGAGGGTCTCTCCTCCCGCGCGCTTTCGCGGCCCACCTTTGACCAGCCTCGAACTTCTCCTAATCCCCAAGACTGGCACGCCCAGAGGCGGTGAAAATCTTAGGGATGCACCCCCAGAAACTGAGGGAATCCCTGAGATCGCCATCGTGACGGGGCGATGCCCAACATGGGGATCGGGATAGGTTCCAGACTGGTAAATCTCCTTCGTTCTGCAGTTTTTCTTTTCCTTCCT